CAACAAATAGAACTGTTTGTTTGTACACGGCAAAGTAACTTGAAGAACACTCTGTACAGTCTTTTATTTTCTTGCAACGAGAAACTGCTAAGAGGTGCATTGTGTAACTTTTCTGGTGGTGGGTCTGTCACTTGCTTGTTTCTATGGTTTCTATTTCATTGCTCTGCCTGGAATTTTCCACAGTATGATATGAATCTGCTCTACCTTACATTTATTCAATTACAAGTGGTTTTATTTCAGAAAAATACTTAGAAAACAGGCATTGTGGCTGTGAGCAGGTTTGCCTCTCCACAGATCTGACCTGTAATTTGGTCTGGTTTTGTCTTCGTGAAGATGGAAAGGTGTTACGGCTCGCGGCCTGGCTACGCCTCGCCCAGCACTCCCTGTTTGTTTAATCGCTTGTGCCTTCCATATTTGCATGTGCTGTGTGGTACCTGGCACCTGATTGGTGGGGTGTGGTCCCGTCGCTATTGGGTTGGCTCTGATGTTTGTTGTGCCGTGGTTGGAGGATTAAAGTCCCACTCCTCCCATTCCCTTCCTGATCCGCCAGCTTCTCATCCAATAATGTTCCTCTTGGCGACTGGTTTTCAGATTCAGTTCGCCATACTAGATAGACGTGTCTCTTGTCGTCCGCTGTTTTCTAAGTGTGAATTGATTATATGAGACACTAGAGGTCGTTGGCTCGGCCCTTGGGCATTTGTATTTTCTTTTATTTAGCCTTATCCATTTAGAATATTGTTTAGTTGTATTGAGAATTCTGATTTAATCATTTTATGCAAAACCTTCATTTTTTGTGTTTGTACTTACTTTTACTTTATAAAAGCCACTTACTTTCCATCACATCTTGTTTGTGTTACTTTCCTTTGTCCCTAGCACTGGTTTGTAACAAAAGGTTTAATATCATACTGTGAAACATTCCAGACAAAGTAATAACATCTCCATGGAGAAAAGCATTTGATGGACCCTCTGCCAGAAAAGTGACACAATACACCTTTAATGCAGTTTAGAGTTATGTTCATTATTTCACAGATAAAATTGGGGATGTAAAATAGCGCAATATCTTCTTTAATAGACTGGAAAGATAATTTACGTTATTAAACTCAAGGTTTAATAATTCTCTAAAGGTTCTTTGTTTGCTTTTTTAACTACACATTTTATAATTTAAAGCTATAATTTATTTTAAACAAAAGAGTCACAATATTGTTTCATTGTAGTACCCTTCTCTATTGTGAACTATAAAGCTGCGACAAACCAATACTTATATTTATCCAGTGTTAATAAGTGCTAATTCCTTGTCATTTTAAAATAAAGTTGTAATTTTTCCGTTTTCTAATTCAGTTCTTCCTGTAAGGTATGTCACACAATGGATTATATAAAGTCAATACTAGTACATAACAGATATAAACAAAAACATCATCCCATATTCACTTATTGAGGACAAAAGCTCACAGGCTCAGTGCATTTATGTTATTATTAAATCAATTATTATTAAATATGAGTTTAATTGTTGACCGTAAATTACATGTGTGAGTGAATGGGAAAGTGTTTTTCATCAACTGATTCTTTACTGATTCATTATTATTCATTATACTTCATAACACTGTGATTATAAAGAAGTCCCACTGTGATATAAGGGGCTTTATTGATCCACGAGGGAAATTATTTGTCAGGAATGTTTCACACTATGCCATTAAATCTTTCTATCTTCATGGAGACCAAGCCTGAGCAAGTTACAGGTCAGATCTATGGAGAGGCAACCTCACGCTCAACGTTCACAGTCAGAATGTCTGTATTTTTGAGCTATAAAACCACCTATAACTGAATAAATACAAAACCAAAACCAACCAAAAAGTTATACAGTGAACATTAAAATAGAGTTTTTTTAGGACACTGTAAGCCATTAGTGTATCAAATTAATTTTTTCAGCGCTGTTTATCTCCTCATATGTTATTGGGTGTATCTAGGTGTGTGGCTTGCGAGTCTGTTTGTATGGAGTAAACACACGTATAAGGATAAGCTTGTGTACTTTATTGTTTTTGTGTGTGACTTTCTCATGTGTGCGAGCCTATCTTCGGCCCACCACTGAACAAACTAATTAAGGAACAAACGTCGCTTCAAACCAACCAGAAAATTACCTCCCAACTCCAACAGGACGACCCAAGGACAGGAGCGCAGGTTTTCTATCACATCTACTCAGCGCAGTACGCCTAACACCGGCTTAGGTGCTTTATCGAACGTGGAGCATGTGTCATTTGGAGCAGCCCACTGAACCCAGCGCCTCACCAACAAACACATGGATGACTCTGTTTTCAATGGGGGCTTGATTATTGAGACTAATACTGGGATTTATGGCTTTGTTTGGGCAGTCGTACTTTTGATGGTGTGTAAAAACAGATATTTGCGGTGTAACTTTGTTGATGCTGAAAATATGCATTGCTATTTTGATTGAAATATGAACTGAAATCATTTTTAAAAAAAGGGTACACTGACTGATTTTTTTTTTTAGTATTGCCACCTTTGTTGAAATTCACACTGTTTAATTATAACCTTTTAATTTTGTTCTTGAAAATCAGTGTTTTTAAAATAAATGATATTAATCTCGCATAGTGATAATAATTATGGAAATGTCTTAATTTGTGCTTCTATTACTTTTGACGAGGTTACAACTATATATTGCATCATCAAAGTTCTCACAATAACATCATGGACCATCGACTTACAAGTCTCTTTGCTTAAATTAAGAGTTATGCTGCAACAGTAGCTAAAAAAAGACTACATAGACCATGATCTGTTGCTCCATTTCAGTGTAGACTACAAGAACAATAACAGTTCTAAGCACTTTTAAGTCTTAGTTCTTTGGATTAAGTCTTGTCAAGGCATTTTAAGAGGAAAAAGTAGCATATTAGCCTCCACAAAATATTGTAATAAATATCGTTCCATGAGATGTATATAGTGAAAATATCATACCCAGAGATTTGGATATTGTTACATCCCTAATCGTGAGCCTCCCCACCATATCATGAGCTTTCCCACAATATCGCAATAATTATCGTATGGTGAGGTTCATACTGTGACAATATCGTATTATGAGACTTGGATATCATTACACCCCTAGATACAACACAGCTCTGCCAATTCATGGGTTTCTGTCACTTTACCTCCTTTCCTTTTATATGGACACCATTTTGAGGACTTTATTGCCTTTCCAAATGTAAAGGTAAAGGTCATTTTGTACTGTTAGCAACCATGGCAATAGTCATTTTATTATTTAGACACCTGACTGCTTGTGTAAAACTCCTTAGTATTTGATCATGTTCCCAACAGACTCGACTGTACCTCTGCCTCTTACAATTATTTGTGCTGCAGAAACTATTTGCAGACCCCTCTGAAGGTGCAGGTGTGACTCCGGTACCAGTGGTGGGGTGTTGACTTCTAATAGATTTCAGGAGTAAATTGTTAGTGACTGTCTTGTGTGGATCAATACAGCAACTGGAGCTAATCCTGTGGCATTTCACGGCCAATGGGTTCCAATTAAGTAGCGTCATGTGGTGAGATGTCACTGACAGTATCAATAACGTCCATCTGACCCTCTGTTTGTGTCTCTACTCCTTTATCTTTTCTTTGTACCTTGTAGGCATTACTACTTCTCCTACTGATGTCACTTTTAAGTTAGTACTAAGTTAGTAATCTAAGAATCAGGGGCGTGTCTTTGGAGTCGCCAGGGCTAACAGGAAACTCAAAGAATCTGATTGGCAGTAAATCCAGGGTAAATGATACTTGTGTGATTTGAGTTAAACTATTTCTCCAAATTCAGTGGTGAAATGTAACAAAGTAGTAAAGTACTGTACTTAAGTATACATTTTAGGTATCTGTACTTTACTAGAGTAGATTTTAAAACGTATACTTTGCTTTTTGTACTTTCTACTCCACTCTTGAACAGAACTTAAAATTAAAAGTATTTTTTGTTATTGTCTGAGACCAGCATTAAAAGATAGGGACACCTTCGTAATTTGAGCAAACAAAAATATAGCAAGTAAGTAAGTATGAACTTTATTTACTTGCTTACTTATTTACTAATCCTTAATCTACTATAGATTTTCTAGACTATAAATTTACATAGGCCTATTGAGGACTGCCATGAATCATCTTGGGCGTCCTGAAACAGAGATTAAGAAACTGGATTTATCACATTGTCAAACACATTGTCTCTACTTTGTGACTGTATTAAGCTTTTCAGTTACTTTTAATGTAGTGTCAAAACTACTTTACGGTTTTATGCAGCTAAAATCTGGAGAAGTCTCGCTGAAGATCTGAGACAGGCTTCTACTCTGACAATGTTTAAATTCTGCACATATACTTACTTACTTACAAATAAAAATATATATATTTGGATCTTTATTAGACCTCAAAGTATGTGAAAAGTACTTTTACCTGTTACTGTCCAAGCACATTTTTAAACAGGTACTTTATTACTTTTACTTCAGTAAATTTATTCATGTGATACTTTTACTTGGATATTTCTTTACTGGTGTCTCTACTTAATAATAAAATGGAGTACTTCTTCCACCATTTTCCAGATGATATCAAAACAGTAAATGGACATCATCATATTCATCATTTATTTTCAAGAATATTGACATTTAAAGGCCAAATTCTCATTTTGAATATGCTTCAGACCTTCAAGACTTAGACCACCAAAGTGATAAAAGTTTTGACATCCACTGCTCCAAAGCTAATACTAAATATATTACTGATATATTCAATACTGTGTGAGAAAAATTGTACGTTTGTATTGATTGTATTAAAAATATATTTTATCACTGCAAACAGAACTTCATTTTCTCTGACTTATAAAGGTGCTTTGATTATTTTATTGCTGTTTCTTTGATTATACAAGAATTAATTATAAATACTTAGAGTTATTTGATCCAAAGTCTTGACTTTGTTCTTACTTTTGTCTTACTGCTGATAATAATATTGACAATGTTTTCTCTTTACAGTGAAAACCTGTGGCAGTAATCTCCAAGGACCCTCAGGAAGCTTTACATCCCCAAACTTCCCGATCCAGTACGAGAGCAATGCCCAGTGTGTTTGGATCATCACTGCTTCAAATCCTAATAAGGTATGTTTTTGTCCATCATGGATAATACTTTTTTTTGGTTGTTTGTTGTTGTTTTTTTATTGTTATTACTTTAAATTGTACATCATATACATGTGACAAGAAAGGTTATATGAACTGTATTCCAAGTAAAGGATGATACAGAGATGAATAGATTTACTTGAGTGACCTTTTAAAACTGTTTTCAAACACCATACCATACTTACTGCTTCATGAGTACGATGTATTTTTACAGTGTAACAGTACTCGGCTACTTTACCAACATATATTTCAGTCAGAACCCGTATCCTGCCTCCATGATTGTTTGGTTGCAGGTGCTTGTTGCCTCTTGGTATTTGAGAGCTTTTGGCTGTACAGATTTTGCGAACCGGTCCTGATTCTATTACCCCGCACAACTCGACCTGAGCTAAGTATCCAGTGGTGCTGCTGATAACATACTGCCCCCGGTGGAGTTTAGGTGGATGTGAAGGTGGAAGTAGAGCTTATTATGTTGTGAATAGGGGATTTCGCCTGGAAATGACATGTCAGCTTAAACCATAAATATTCTTAAAGAGATATTCGACTTATCCAGTAACAGAACTGCGGCTTAACGCAGCGTGCAAGATCTATTTTTGGGTCATCTTTGGACAGTCTATATCTAATGTACTTTTAGGATTTTGTTTAGTTGTGAATTCTTCTTTAAATGTTTTGAAACCTAAAACCGCCATGGAAATAGACTGATAATGTTATATATGATAGCCAATATTTTCAGCACCGAAATGAATTTTTGTTAAAGCCCCACTGCATAGTACTCGGTGGAGGAGGCACTCTTCCTTCTTGTCTGAATCTCTATGGAAATGTTGTTCCTTTGGCTATAATAGTATTGCATAAAACTGATCCATCTCCGTGGAGAATGCTCTAAAGTAGATTTTACTTTCTATTTCCACTGAATGATTTGGGTGATGTGCCCCACTTTTAGTAGCCTGATTCATCAGCTGGTTTCACTTGGTGGAAACTGTCTGACTTCGCAGCATTAGGATTTGTTCCCTCGATGGTAGGCGGGTACTTTTTTATTTAACCAGTTACTGCTATTTGGTCGTGACGTATGTAATGCTCTGCTAACAGGGCTAACTGGTATATTAAGCTTTTCTCAGATCCCGTAGGAAGAAGGGCAATAAGGTCTTTCCTCTTGATAAAATTCACCAAACATTCTCTTTATTCCGGCTTTAAATCCTTGATCTGGGGAATCGCCAACACAGAATGTATGGCTCTTCGCTGATTGGCTGGCACTTCCGGGGTACTTGCAGACTGTCTAGTGCATTCTAATTCTTGATCTAGTCGCTGAAGAGAAATGAAATTGGGCAGAAGCACTAGGCGACGCCAGCCTGGCTACACTTTTAGGCCCTTGTTCTGCACTGAAACCTCAAATCTGAAGCTATGTCAGCCAGTTAATATATGTATGCATACCATGTAAAATTAACTAATACTCACACACACTGACATTTCTACATAATTGAAATCTGTTAATAATAATTCATATAGGGCGTAGCATACAGGACACGCTCTTCACTACAGATCAGTGTCTAGCTCTGTGATTGGTTAATCCCACTGTGGCTGGCAATGATAGGCATACATTTCCCATAAGCCACTGGGATTGGTTACAGTGCAGAGTCCCATCGGAGAGGGGATTGGTATTCACATAAGAGTGTCTCATTCAGCTCAGGGTCAGTGTGGTGACCGCGCTGTCGTCACTGGCAACACCTGCGTCAGCACCTCTGGGACTCTCACGCGCTACATGCCCACTCCATACATATACATACAGTATAAGGGCTTTTATAGATTTAGCTTTGCTACAGAAAATATCCTCTGCTTGTGACATGGGGGCAAGGATACTATTTCAGACACATTTTTTGATTACTGTTTATTCAGTTCAGCTATATATACATTTACTACGCATTATTATTATTATAGATTTTGTGGCTATAGAAAGATCTAAATATTCAGCAATACTTTATAAGATGGGGTGACACTTAAAGGTGTGTGGTGTAACTTTTTGTTTAGGCATCTGTCACCTGTTTGTTTCTATGGATATGTCTTTGCTTTACCTGAAATGTTCCACAGTGTGACATTAAACAGTTCTACCTTACATTTATTTAATTACATGTGGTTTTATAGCTCAAAAATACTTAGCAAAACAGGTGTTCTGATTGTGAGAGGGGTCGCCTCTTCACAGATCTGACCTGTAACTTGGTCTGGTTTCCATGAAGATAGAAAGGTTTAATGCCATACTGTGAAACATTTCAGACAAAGCAATAACATCTCTATGGAGAAAAGCATTTGATGGACCATCCACCAGAAAAGTTACACAGTGCACCTTTAAGCCAGTTTGGTCATATCATACTAACTCTTGCTTTAGCAGCTCCTCTCTTTTGTGAAAAATGTTCAACATAACTTAACGTTTTTAACTTATTTTTTACTTTCAGTTACATTACATCCATTTTCTGGAATGTGAGATGATTTGTGCTGTTAAACAAGTCTCTTACACATAAAACTACAGTCACAAACTAGCTAGTGTTACCCAACTGTTTTTGTTTGTTTGTTTATTTATTTTTTTACTATAATTCACACCAGCCAAAAAAATGCACAATGAAGAAGAAAAAAACATATATAAGTCGCACCTGACTATAAGTCGCACTTTTTAGGTGAAATTTTTATTATAAAATCAGAGACGAGGAAACGACATTTCACCTTGAAAGTCAATTTATAGTAATAACAATAGAACAGAGAACTACAGGTTGTTAACGTCACATATGAACAGTTCTTCAGATAACTACAGCATAACTATAGCGGGAACAAACTCTCTGTCTCTCTCCAAATCACAAAATCCATTGAATTCTTCATCCTCTGTGTCACTTCTGAGCAACTCCACGACCTCTGGAGGTAAATGGAGAGCTGCTTCCTCTTGTAGCTGTCGTCTGACTCAGCATCAGTTCCAGTTAGAATTATTCTGGCCTTTCTGAATCCTGACAAAATGGTTTCAGTTGTCTTTATGTTTATTTAAATTTAATTTTGTTAATGATACAGAAGAAATGGTGAAATCGACTGACATGATACCAGACAGGACAGTGGATCTTTCGCTTTCTTCTGCAGACGACAGACGAGTAGAGAGCGAAGTGACAGTGGTACACAGGCCTCTCGCGGGTGTCAGTGTGAAAATTTTAATACATAAGTCATACAGGAGTATAAGTCGCAGGACCACCCAAATCATGAAAAAAAGTACAAAAAATATGTTGTTGTTTTTTTTGGTTTGTTTGATTGTTTTTAGACAATCTTAAAACCTTTTTGTCTGTGCTTGCTAATGTGTGCATTGTGTCACTATGGTAACTCCTGAACTCTCCATCATACAGATACATGTAGAACTCCCCCTTCGTGACGTCACTGCAAAGTATCAAGACGCAGACCCCTCCCTTTCTGTCGCTACATGATTCCTCTACCCTGGTTTAGTGTTATTCTCCGGTGATCCATCCCGTGCTTGACTGGTGAAGGCTGTGGTCCTAATGCCCTTCCGTACCCTTGGGGGCAATAGAGCGCTCCTGCCTGCCTCCATGTACACTATGTAACAGCCTGACAAATCACCCCCTATGTACTGAGTATGATTATGGACCCACCACAACCTTAAATGAAGACTCGGCATCTGACGGTTACCACTCATTTTTATGGCGCTTTATCCCAAACGACTGGTCTAGTAATTTCCATCAAGCATCATAATGTACCGTACTCCATCACGGCATGTTCCATACTGCGTCCATAAACGTCTGCCATACCTACCTACATGGTACAAGCTGTGAGACTCCGCACGAATTAACTGAAGGACATCATATGGACTAATTTTGTGAAACGAATGAATAAGTAGTACGAACAGTGGGTATTTTTAATAAAGGGGCACCAAGATGACCTGTGATGGATGCTTTAAAGGCCGATGTGCACCTCTGACCCACACTGATGTTTTAATCAGCTACCTTGACCAAATCTGACCTACCTAGAGTTAATTGAATTCCTCATGCTAGACTAAAGAAATTGGAACAAAAGGCTACATGGCATTATCTGAAAAAGTGCGCCGTGTGCTGTGAGCTGTGTATTTTTTATCCTTTTAAATATAGGTTTAAGGGTTGCTGGCTCAGTTAAAGGTCCTATATTAAAGAAAGTTGACTCATGTGAGCTTTACGCCATTTTAAAATGTTGTGATCTCATTAAAAACATAAGTGGGGTTGTGTTTTGTTTCATTCACACGTTTGAGTAACTCTTTATTATTAGTGTGTCTCCTTCTCCAAACCTTGAAATGCTTTGTTCCACATTGTGATGATGTCATGAAGTGTTTTCATGTTTTCATACAGCTTTGATTTTAATTATCTTTGAAGTAGTTCTTAATGCATTTCTTGAAACCCTTTCTTCATAATGTGAATGAGCTTGACCACAAAGATGGATTCCATACATAAACACAAAATATCTAATAAAATAAGATGCTTACAAGAAGCCTTACACTGAGCTACATCGAGGAAACACTTGACCCTCAATATTTGCACTAACGTACAATATGTTTATGACGTTTTTAATGCTTTAGATTTTACCTTTTTTCTCATCTATATTATGATTTATATTATAACATACCTGGAGTTGTGTTTTGTTTCACTCACATGTTTAACACATCTCTCAAACTTAAAACACTCCACCTTGTGATGTCTTATAGTAATACAGGAAGCGCTCCATTGTGTTTTTAAACTCCAGACACCTTCACTAGAATTATATTTGTATTTGTATTTATGTATTTATTTTGGGCAAGTAGAGATTTACATTCTTCTACAATGGAACATATAACATAACTGAAATCATAATAGAAATTATAAAAAAAAATGAAATTGCCTAAAAAGGAGTGGGAAAAGAAAATTAATTTAATCTCACCCCCATTCTTTTAATCTAACACAATGAGCTTTCTTTTGCATTTTTCAGACATTTAGCATTAAACT